ATTAGTTTTTTCAGTCTGAAACATTTTCCCTGACAGAAATATTAAAACTTTCCTTTTTTTCCTTCAATTTCTACAAGTTTTTTTTTTTTTTTTTTTTGGTAACATACAAAGATGTTTGAAGTAGTTACTCATCTTTATATTCTTCCTTTCTGGTCTCAATCCCCCTGGGTTAACTACTGTTTATGATTTGCTCTGTGTCCTTCCAAATGACTCTCTGTCATTCAGTAAAAATGTATTAGCATAAAAATAGCATTTTTTGGACCATTTTATAGAAACAGATCATGCTGTGCATATTACATTGCTACCTGCCTTGTTTTACTTAAATTATAAAAGTCATTATTTCTTTAGTTTTTCCCAAATTCAGTTTACATACCACATATTAGAAGCATATTAGAAGCTTATTTATTTTAAAATATGAGATAGTACCTGATTTTTGGCTGAAATTGAAGGAAATTCATTACTCTTCTAGCATCATTATTCTGGATTATTCATGCAAATGGAAAGTGTATTCATATGCACCCCCAAATAATTGTTTATTTATAAACTCAGGGCTTTTTCCATTGTAGTTTTTAGAAAATATAAATAATGCATAATTAGACATGGGTACTACTAGAGTGGAGTTTGGTATTATATATTTTGAGGAGTAGAGGAAGAGAGCTGATTATAAAGTGTAGGATGTGAAGGAAATGTAGTGTTTTGTAAAGATTCCCCACTCTTCTTAGTTCTCACTGCTCTATGTATTGTCTCAGTAATGTTTTTAGAGTGCCTCCTCAGTATTCATAATTAACAGTTTCAAATAATGAGTGGTTAAACTTAATGAGTCTAAATGTCCTAACAAAATAATACACAATATTGAAAAAGTATTTTTTATTCTTAAAAATTTATTAATGGGATGTGTATACATGTTGGACACTGTACAACTTCTCAAACCTTGTACTCCTTGGACACTGCCACTTACATGACATCAGTTTTTATAGAGACTTGCTTTTTGCCACAGCAATCCCCAAAACTAGCTTTCCAAAAAATAAGATGTCATTAAGAGAAATATCACGTAATATTAAAATTTTGAACTGTCTCAAGCTGGCTTGTGGGATGTTCACAGACAGTGAGATCAGTCAGTGTGTTTCCCTCTTGTTTAAAATGTCGCTGGTGGGACCAGCAGTTAGCATAATGGGTATGTCTCTGGACTCCCATGTAGTCGACTGCCATTTGAGTCCCGGACCTGGTGGCTTAAACTCAGGCCAGGCGTGTGTGCGAGTGTGCCCAAGATCCCAAGAGGAGAATGGAGGAGAAGGGATTGCAGCATGGCCATCCTCCCTGGGGGGTGCGTGTCTCTCTCTTTCTGGCGAGCACATGCACCCTATAGCAAAAAAACCTCTCCAAAAAAAGAAAAAAAAAAATGTCACTGGTGAGCACACTGTGGCACCTTAGGGCTTCTTGTGCACTGTTGAGAACCACAGGTTTAGTAATAAGAACATAGGCTTTGGAGCCAGACAACTACGTTTTAAGTTATGCTGAGCCACTTGGAATGAATTTGGGCAAAGTCCGGTTTCATCATCTTTATGAAAGAAAAGTATCTTTTTTATGGGGCTGTTGAAATAAGAACTCCTGGCAAGTTCCTGAAAGTATATGGTTGATAGGCCTCAATAAATTTTAATTACTAACGATAATTATGAAACAAAGAGGTAAATTCTTATGGAGGAAAAATCATTTGAAGGAGTAGGGTAACGATGGACGTAGTGAATATTCTTGACGTAATCATAGTCTTCCTGTTTTCATGGATGGGGAAAATATGGTTTGTAGCTGATTTTTTCAACTTCATGTAAATGAGATCACTATTTTGAGTGTCAGGTTAAGGGGAAAAAAAAGGATTTTAAAAATGAATACCAATAATTCACTTCTCAGGTATTTATTTACTAACCATGGCAGTGATAGAAGTTATATTTACAACCTATTTCATATGCTGTGGTAAGATTTGATTGTGGAAGCTACTTTGTAACCATGCAACAGTCAGCTTTTAAAACTAACAGCATCAAATTGTTTTCAATTTAAATTTTGGTGCCCTTATTAATAGCAGGGCGACTGGCTTCTTTGACTTAACTACTACATCTATTAGTCCTCTAATTCTTTAGCATGATTGCTCTGCTGTTGTAAAAAGCAAAAAGAGGTACTGAACTAATAAAATTTCAGTATTTGGCTAATTGCTTTGGTTATCTAGGCTGGATTTTTCAAAAAGCATATTTCCTTTCTCAGTGGAAAAAAAATTACACTGATTATACAGGAATAATCTGTCTCTAGTAAAACAGGAGGGGCTATTTTCAATTCCTGTTCAAAAACTACTGAAACACACTCATACTTTGTATTTAGGGGGGGAATTATCTTTATATAGAAAGAAAGCTGCAGCGCTGAAATCCCACATGCTTGAGGTATAAATGTAGTTCCTTTAAATATCTTCAGAGGGCCATGAACTTCTTGAAACTATGTCTTAGTTGATTTTCCAAATGATGGAATTATATTTTTTAGTTTTTGTTTTACCTACACTTATATATGTACAGTCATCAACCAAATATAATATTTCTAGTAATGAGTCATGAAGTTTTTTTTGGTTTCATTAAAGAATGAAATTAGTTTGGCCAATTTAGAGAGGCTGATTTCTGAGATATCGTGAATCTGGTTATGTAGTCATGACAGCTCTTCTTCCAAAGCATGAGAATCTGTGGAGAGAGTTACTTTTTTTTTTAAAGTCTTCTGAAGACCCCTGTGGTCTTCAGCGTTTGTTCCTCTTAGGTTAGGACTTGGAAGCAGAAGTTCTTCAAAGCCTCTCTCCATTTTGGCTGTCATGTGGGTTTTGGAAAGGTAGCAAGTCTGAACCAAAGTTTGGCATTAATGACTGAAATATTAGGACAGGTGTGACCTTGGCAGTTTTCACTTGGATTGGTAAACCCCGTTATCAAAATAGCTTACCACCTCTGTCGACTTAGTTTTTTGGCATAGTAAACAAGGAAAAAAATGTTTTAAAAAAGTCATCATTTTGGGACCAGCAATTAGTGTAATGGCTAAGTTGCTGGATTCCTACGTAGTCAACCGTTCTTCGTGTCGCGCACCCGGTGGCTTAAAACTTGGCGGGCGCGTGTGCGTGCATGCCCAAGATCCTGAGAGGAGAATGGAGGAGAAGGGATTGCAGCATGGCCATCCTCCCTGGGAGTGATTTCTCACTTTCTATCTCTCTCTCTCTCTCTGTCTCTGTCTGTCTGGTGAGCGCACATGCTCTATAGCCAAAACCTCTTAAAAAAAAAGTCATCATTCTAAGAACAGTTTCATCTGTTTTAAGAAATTCAGTTAAAGTAATCTGTAGATAAAATAGAAAATACATTATATTTATAGTTCATAATCTTGTACTACAATACAATATAGAATATAGTCTCTGCCTTCATTTTAACGTAGATAATTTGTAATGGTGTGGTTTAAAAGGCAATGGTGAAATTTGTGCTAAAAGTAGCCATTTAGCTGCTCTGCAGACTCTAAAGTTGTTTATGATTTTGTAGAACAATCTGACATCTTTCTTTAAAAGTTATCCCATTTGAGAGGGGTTATAGCTTAGTCATCCAGCTATGTATTCCACTGTTTGTTGCTGTATGTGCCCTTAAAATAGTTTCAAATTTAACATATTCCACAGTTTGCAGTTGCTCAGTTTAGCTTCTTGGGTATCTTGCTGATCGAGAATTATCAGTTACATTAAATTCAGTGGAGTTGTGATAACATTTGTTCTGATGGCAGGTTAATCAGATGGAAGAAATTCATACTTGTGTTGGGAAGAGGGTAGGTACATTTTGGGTTTGAGCCACTCTGGGAATATAGTTCTTTGGAAAAAAACATGTTAAATGTATACATCCTAGATGATGAAATAAACTATAGTTGCTTAAACTAAGGAATGTTTTGAAATAAATAATAGAAAGTTGGTAGATTATAGAAGTATAATTTTTTTTCTTTCTTTAATGTGCAGGGAAGTCGAGATAACATGAGTATTGTACTAGTTTGCTTTTCAAATGCCCCCAAGGTCTCAGATGAAGCAGTGAATCAACCGTTCTTCGTGTCGCGCACCCGATGGCTTAAAACTTGGCGGGCGCGTGTGCGTGCATGCCCAAGATCCTGAGAGGAGAATGGAGGAGAAGGGATTGCAGCATGGCCATCCTCCCTGGGAGTGATTTCTCACTTTCTATCTCTCTCTCTCTCTCTGTCTCTGTCTGTCTGGTGAGCGCACATGCTCTATAGCCAAAACCTCTTAAAAAAAAAGTCATCATTCTAAGAACAGTTTCATCTGTTTTAAGAAATTCAGTTAAAGTAATCTGTAGATAAAATAGAAAATACATTATATTTATAGTTCATAATCTTGTACTACAATACAATATAGAATATAGTCTCTGCCTTCATTTTAACGTAGATAATTTGTAATGGTGTGGTTTAAAAGGCAATGGTGAAATTTGTGCTAAAAGTAGCCATTTAGCTGCTCTGCAGACTCTAAAGTTGTTTATGATTTTGTAGAACAATCTGACATCTTTCTTTAAAAGTTATCCCATTTGAGAGGGGTTATAGCTTAGTCATCCAGCTATGTATTCCACTGTTTGTTGCTGTATGTGCCCTTAAAATAGTTTCAAATTTAACATATTCCACAGTTTGCAGTTGCTCAGTTTAGCTTCTTGGGTATCTTGCTGATCGAGAATTATCAGTTACATTAAATTCAGTGGAGTTGTGATAACATTTGTTCTGATGGCAGGTTAATCAGATGGAAGAAATTCATACTTGTGTTGGGAAGAGGGTAGGTACATTTTGGGTTTGAGCCACTCTGGGAATATAGTTCTTTGGAAAAAAACATGTTAAATGTATACATCCTAGATGATGAAATAAACTATAGTTGCTTAAACTAAGGAATGTTTTGAAATAAATAATAGAAAGTTGGTAGATTATAGAAGTATAATTTTTTTTCTTTCTTTAATGTGCAGGGAAGTCGAGATAACATGAGTATTGTACTAGTTTGCTTTTCAAATGCCCCCAAGGTCTCAGATGAAGCAGTGAAAAAAGATTCAGAGTTGGATAAGCACTTGGAATCACGGGTTGAAGGTAAGAAAGAGGCTTTTTTGTTTGTTTAGAAGAAGGGAAAAATACTCTTCCTTGTTTATCAAATGATTCTTTTTAAATTTCCTTAGGAAAAACAATTACTTCAATACGAAGTCTCAAAAAACATCTGTATGTCTAAGATTTACTATCATGAGCCAAAGTGTGAGGATTTATATACCATCAAAGAGAAACAAAATTCGAAAATAATCTGTTAAAGTTTGCTTTTTTTCCTTTTCCCTGATTACATTCCTTAGTAGTAAGTGAAGAATCAAGTGAAATTTGCCTCCAATTATCGTAAACATCAAGCGCTATAATTCCACAGATACAGATTCTTCTTTCCCAACCTTTCCCAAGTTAATTATTAGAATCATTACCTTGTGTTTTTTTACCTTTTTAAAAAGTTTTGCCAGAGATTGTGTACACTCACCAAAAAGGGAGAGAGAGGGAGAGAGCATCCCACTTGTGGGACATGTCACACTACAATCTCTATTCTGTATCGTTTTTTTCTGGGATTTTGCACACTGTGTATATGTACCCAGTGTGTTTTTCAAGCCACTTGACCTGGGACAAGAACCATGCAGTCAGCCATGTGAGATCCATTTCTGTTAACTACCAGACCAAGGTCTGGCTCATGTTTTTTATCTTACTGGTAGAATTGGCATTGATGTTTCCAAAGATTATTGATTTCACTTTATTTTTAACCTTTCATTTTACAATAATTTAAAATTTATAGAAAAGTTGCAAAAATTGGGACCGGCAGATGGCATAACAGTTAGGTCGCTGGGCTCCCGCATGGCCAACGGCGGTTAAGTCCCAGACACAGGTTTTAAACTCATGCCAGGCACATGTGTGTGTGTGCCCAAAATTCTGAGAGAAAAGTGGAGCAGAAGGGATTGTTGCTGACCATCCCCTTTGGGGGGGTGATTTCTCACTTTCTGTCTGTTTCTTTGTCCCTGTCTCTAGCAAGTGCATGTGCTCTATAGCAAAAATCTGTCTACAAAAAAAAAGAGAGAAAAGTTGCAAAACTTATTACAAAGAACTCCATATACATGAAATACTCTTTACCTAGTCACCATTTGTTAATAGTATATCACATTTGACTTACCTCTCTCTATATACATGCCTTTTCTAACAAATCTCCCATCATATTTAACTAAATTTGTTTTCATGAACCAATTGAAAGGAAGTTACAAATATAATATCCAGTACCTCCTAATAAACAGGAATGGTTTCTACCTAACTGTAGTACATCTATCAAAATTAAGAAGTTAATATCTATATGGTATTACCTCAGGTCCCATGTACATTTCTCTGATTGTCCCAGTGATGTCATGTATACATCTAGGATCTAGTTCATAGCATGTGCTGCACTTAGCTGTCATGCTTCTTCATTCTCTATTTTTAAAAATCCCTTGGTCTTTTCTTGTTTTACTGACCTTGACCATTTTTTAAGAGTACAGTTTAATTATTTTAAATAATTTACTTTATTTGTAAAATGTCACCAATTTGAGTTGGCCAGTGTTACCTTTTGGTAAGATTTAAACAGTATGTTGACAGTAATGTCATAGAAGTGATTCTAGGGGCCGGCAGTGGTGTGGTCGTTAAGGACGCTGGATTCCCACGTGGCTGACCGTGGTTTGAGTCCAAGACCTGGTGGCCTGCTTTCTCACTTTCACTTTCTCTCTCTCTTACCCTCCCTCTCTGGTCTAATTAAAATAAGTAAATAAAGTTAAATAAAATAATTTCTTAGAAAAAATTTTAGAAGAAAAGAAGTGATTCTAGATTCTTCTCAGTGCACCATATTAGGAAGCATACAATATTGATTTGTCCTATTACTGGTAATGTTAACTTTGATTATTTGCTTGAGATGTTGATTTTCTTCTGTTGAAAAGTTAATAAGTGTGTTTTACTTAATGTGTTATATTTATTAGTAAGTATTCTATGGTGAAAGACTTTGAGATTAAGTTAATAACTTTTTCCTCATAAGGTTTTCACCTACCAGTTTTAGCATCCAACTTGGACTCCCACAAGGACAAGTGGGGATTTGTAACCAAGGAGCAGGGGGAGGGGATCAATGCATAGAAAATCACAAAAAGGAAGCATCAAGGATAAAGGGTTTCTGACTTAACTGACTTGATAGGATCATTACTGAAGGTAAGCTAGAGTGAAAAAATAATCCAAGGTGGTCAGCTACAGGCAGTAGATTTTCACAAAACTGATTTAGCTGGATTCTTGCTCAGATTGGACGCTATAAAGACACAAGATGCTATAAAGACACAGAGGGAAGCCAGAAGTTGGCCCAGTCAGAAAGGATTCAAGAACTTAACTAAAATTTTGGTCAAAGAAAATCTTTGTCATAATAAATGAGTTATTTGTTAAGCATCTAATGTGGTACCTAACATGTAAGCTCTCAGCAGACTGCAACTTAATATTAACTCTTAACTCCTTTTTGAACTAAATTTCAATTTCTTAAAGGCATGGTTATGGTTAATTCATTTCAACATGGGTAATATAGTCTCAGTTTTCTCTGGTATAGTTTATAAATTTCAAACGTTACATGGACAGAAATGGCAAGTACATAATATAATCTCTGAGACCTGTGGCAAATACTTGATGGTAATCGTTCAATCAGAAAACTTTAAAATCCAGGGCAAGACAGCCACTACAAATCACTTTAAGATGTAATTTCTTTTTATAAGGCAATGTTCTTCAAGGGATTGTATTTCTTTTGGAGCTTTAAATGAGATACTCTCACCTTTAATTTTTTTTTTTTTGGAGAGGTTTTTGCAATAGAGCGTGTGCACTCACCAGACAGAGAGAGAGAGACAGAGAGACAGAAAGCGAGAAATCACCTCCGGGGGGGTGGATGGCCACGCTGCACTCCCTTCTCCTCCTTTCTCCTCTCGGGATCTTGGGCACGCACGCACACACCCAGCGTGAGTTTAAGCCAACAGGTTCGGGACTCGAACCATGATCGACTATGTGGGAGTCCAGCAACATAGCCATTATGCTAACTGCTGGTCCCCTCTGACCTTAAATTTTTTTTTTTGGAGAGATTTTCACTGTAGGGCGCGTGCGCTCGCCAGACAGACAGAGAGAGACATAGAGACAGAAAGCGAGAAATCACCCCCCAGGGGGGATGGTCACGCCGCAATCCCTTCTCCTCCATTCTCCTCTCGGGATATTGGGCACGCACGCACACGCGCCCGGCGTGAGTTTTAAGCCACCAGGTCCGGGACACGAACCGCGGTCGACTACGTGGGAGTCCAGCGACATAGCCATTACGCTAACTGCTGGTTCCCAAATTTTGAGATAAAAGCATTCTGCTGGTGTATTAGATACATCTGTGTATGTGGTTTTAGTAGAAGTGAGTAGGTGAGAGAAAAATAGGATTTAACCTGATTTGATCTATTAGATATTTAGTGAGTCCGTTGTGCATATATTAATTTATTTAATTATGATGAGCACATTTATCACCAAGGATGTAATGATAAACAGAACAAGTCTTATGGAGTTTATATTCTAGTAGAGACCAGCAATTTTTTAAAAAATAATAGAAGAAAAATAAAATAAACAGAGAGTAACAAGGAATGTTGGTTGGGGAGGTCTCTGTGAGGAAGGAGCAAAAACCTGTAACTGGAAATAGTGGATATCTGAGGGACAGCATTTCAGGTAGAGAAAGCCACAGACTGAGGAGGAAAAGCGCTTACTGTGACCTCTTTAGAATGTGCCAGTAGAACAGGAGAAAAAAAATTGAGAGGTTTCTAGGAAGAATATAAAAGATTCTCTCTTGGATGCACTGTGGAGATAAGGGAAGAAGTCAGTTACCAATTAGAAAGATACATTAATGCACATGGCAGATATGGTGGTGACTTGGGTTAGAATGGCTCTAATAGAGAGGTATGAAAATTGGATATGCTAGACTGCGGTGGTTCTCAATTGGAGGAGATTTTGTTCCCAGGGACCACATGGCAATGTCTAGAGATATTTTGGTGTCATAATTGAGGGAGCGCCACTGACATCTAGTTAGTAGAAGTTAGGGATACTGCTTAACATGTTGAAGTACACAAGACATCTCCAATGACAAGAAATTGACCTTAAAAAATCAGTAGTGCTAAATTTATCTTTTATTTTTATTTATTTTATTTATCTTTTATTGCTATAGCAATACAAGTGTAAAGTAGAAAAACTGCAGTCCTGTCTTTGTGAAGCTTTTAGTCTACAGTACAGTAAGCATCATGTATATGACAGTGTATAGCACTTTGCTGTTTACTACAGTATGTTTCAGGCAGATGGGAATTTATAGCAGTACACTTACTCTAGGCCTGGGTTGGAAGGATTTAAGTAAGGAAAACTAAGATATGCAGGTGATATAGTGGTTAAAGCAGTGGACTTCTACGTAGCTAATCATGGTTTGAATCCTGAACCTATAGTCTTGAAACATATGCTGAGAGCATGTGCGCACGTGCCCAAAATCCCAAGGGGAAATGTAAGAGAAGGGACTGTTGTGTGGCCATTCCCCAAAGGTGTTGATTTTTTACTTTCCTTCTTACTGTCCCCAACTCTCTCTGGTGAGCACACACACTCTATGACATTAAAAATAAAAAAGGATCCAAGCCAGGCCTAGCTGCGGTGTCTATTGCTCCTAAGGTACCATACTCCTTAGATTGAGATCACATGGGAGGGCCCGGGCTTGATTCCTGGTCCAATCTAAAGATCAGGCATGATGGTGTGTGCCTATAACCCCAGTGATTCGGAGACCAAAGCAGGAAGATTGTGAGCCTGTGGCTGGCCTGAGTTATCTTTTGAGAATGCTGTCCTTCAAAATGCCAGTAAGGGACCAGCAGTTAGTGTAATGGCTATGTTGCTGGACTCCCATGTAGTTGACTGTGGTTTGAGTCCCAGACCTGGTGGTTTAAACTCACACCAGGGGCATACACAAGACATCTCCAATGACAAGAAATTGACCTTAAAAAATCAGTAGTGCTAAATTTATCTTTTATTTTTATTTATTTTATTTATCTTTTATTGCTATAGCAATACAAGTGTAAAGTAGAAAAACTGCAGTCCTGTCTTTGTGAAGCTTTTAGTCTACAGTACAGTAAGCATCATGTATATGACAGTGTATAGCACTTTGCTGTTTACTACAGTATGTTTCAGGCAGATGGGAATTTATAGCAGTACACTTACTCTAGGCCTGGGTTGGAAGGATTTAAGTAAGGAAAACTAAGATATGCAGGTGATATAGTGGTTAAAGCAGTGGACTTCTACGTAGCTAATCATGGTTTGAATCCTGAACCTATAGTCTTGAAACATATGCTGAGAGCATGTGCGCACGTGCCCAAAATCCCAAGGGGAAATGTAAGAGAAGGGACTGTTGTGTGGCCATTCCCCAAAGGTGTTGATTTTTTACTTTCCTTCTTACTGTCCCCAACTCTCTCTGGTGAGCACACACACTCTATGACATTAAAAATAAAAAAGGATCCAAGCCAGGCCTAGCTGCGGTGTCTATTGCTCCTAAGGTACCATACTCCTTAGATTGAGATCACATGGGAGGGCCCGGGCTTGATTCCTGGTCCAATCTAAAGATCAGGCATGATGGTGTGTGCCTATAACCCCAGTGATTCGGAGACCAAAGCAGGAAGATTGTGAGCCTGTGGCTGGCCTGAGTTATCTTTTGAGAATGCTGTCCTTCAAAATGCCAGTAAGGGACCAGCAGTTAGTGTAATGGCTATGTTGCTGGACTCCCATGTAGTTGACTGTGGTTTGAGTCCCAGACCTGGTGGTTTAAACTCACACCAGGTGCATGTTCATGTGTGCCCAAGATCCCGAGAGGAGAATGGAGGAGAAGGGATTGCGATGTAGCCATCCCCCCTGGGGGGTGATTTCCCACTTTCTGTCTCTGTCTCTGTCTTTCTGGCGAGTGCACGCACCCTATAGCAAAAACCTCTCCAAAAAAAAGAAGGGAAAAAAAAATGCCATTAAGTCCTCGCTGGGAGGTTGAGGTGAGAGAATCTCCATATGTGAGACCTTGTCTTGAAAGAAAAAAACGATGTGAAACTGATAGATGAATAGCAGTTCACTGTACAATAGGATTGGTTAGATTGGTGTGAAAAGTGTTCCAGACTGAGGAAGAGAATACATGTGAAGATCTAGAAGCAGGGGTTGTCTTTAAATAGATCTTTTGGAAAAGAGGGAGGTAGGAGCAGAATGAAAGGGAATGGTGAAGTTTAAGGTCAAAGCGAGGGTCTTTGTGAAGCATGATAAAACAGTTTAGCTTTTACATCTTGTGAGCTACCCAGGACACTGCTTTTTTTATTGTCTTAGCCATTGTTTGATTTTTGAGAAGTTTATGTTATGCCACTGAATAATCATGTTCTAAAAAAGTCTGTTTTCTATAAATTATAAATAGAAATGGAGAGTGTAATTATTTTGTTCTGTTCCAAGTATTAGCAAGTGCTACAATTTATTTTCCTTTTTATTAAAAATAAATTGTCAAAGAACATAACTAGTTATCAGAAAGCCCATAAAGACTTTTTAATTTCCCCCTTTTCCTTTTTTTTAAAAAAAAAAATCTTTGCTATAAGGTGTGTACACTTGGAGAGCCAGACGGAGACAGAAAGTGAGAAATCACCCCCCCCTCCCCCGGGCGAATAGCCACGCCACAATCCCTTTTCTCCATTCTCCTCCCAGGATCTTGGACATTTACACACATGCGCCCAGCATGAGTTTGAAGCCACCTGGTGTGAGACTTGAACCACGGTCAACTACATGAAAGTCTAGTGATGTAACCATTACGCCATCTGGCTGGTCCTCCCTTTTCCTTTTAATCCTTGTGTAGCTGTTGGATTTGTTTTCCTGTAATGTACTAATCATGTTTATATTACTTTTATTTAAAATTAGATCAAAAATGTTTTTCCATGTAGCAGTTACTATGTTCATAGGAGTCATTTTTAAGAATTACAAACTGTTGGGACCAGCAGTTAGCATAATGGCTATGTCACTGGACTCCCATGTAGTCAACCGCAATTCGCGGCCCAGACCCAGTGGCTTAAAACTCACGCCGGGCGTGTGTGCGTGCGTGCCCAAGATCCTGAGAGGAGAATGGAGGAGAAGGGATTGCGGCGTGGCCATCCCCCCCCCGGGGGGTGATTTCTCGCTTTCTGTCTCTGTCTCTGTTTGTCTGGTGAGCACACGCGCCCTATAGTAAAAACCTCTCAAAAAAAAAAAAATTACAAACTGTTGGGACCATCAGTTGGCGTAATGGCTCTATTGCTGGACTTCGATGTAGTTGACCTCGGTTTGAGTCCCGGACCTGATGGCTTAAACTCACTCTGAGCGCCTGTGCCCTATAACAAAAACCTTTCCAAGAAAAAAAAGAACTACAAACTGTTTCATTCAGTGTTATATTAAGATTTTTGTTAGCTTGTGTTAGGCATGTAGTTTGTCTTAGTTTCTGCTTTTATGAATATGTTGGTTTGGACATATATGCAGATAACATTTTATGTTATTTTTGTTTCTTGGTGGTGGTAGTGTTGGCTTTTGTACATTTCAAAATGGTACTTTTTTTTTTCATGAATACTGGGTTATTGCATTAATTTGGGATTTTTTTTGGGTAACACCTGTAGAAATTATGGAGAAGTGTGGTGAAGAAGGAATGCCTGATCTTGCCCATGTTATGCGCATCTTATCTGCTGAAAATATCCCAAATTTGCCTCCTGGAGGAGGTCTTGCTGGCAAGTAAGTAAATAAAAAGAGCTAATTCTGAGTGCTTATAAATTAGTAATTAGATAAGTTTGGTTAAGAAAACTTAAATCAGGCCCAGTTGCTGTAGTGTACACTGGACACTGCTGCTTAGCAGGCTGAGGCTTCATGGAAGGCCCAGGTTCAATGCCCATTCTCCCCTAAATACTGATGTGGTGACAGGTACCTGTGGTCCAACTACTTGTGTGGCTGAGCAAAGAAGATCTCAACACAGCAGAATTCTAAGACATCACACATGTACATACACACACTAAAGGGAAAACTTAAATCAGATGTACATGGGCTAGAGGTGATGTGGGCTATTTCTTATATTAAAGAAGAACTCTAAAACTTCATTCAAAAAAGAAAGGAGGTATTTATCATAGTGTTTGAGCATACAGGCCCTTTTTTGTCTTGCTATGAGAACAAGTGTGTTGAACAGGATCAATTCTGCATCGTTTTGAATAAAATGTGAAAACTAGGTTCTTGGGAAGTATTTAGTATTATAGTTAATTAAGTAGTTAATTAGTGAGGCAAAGATTACAAACATAAGCTTACGGTTTTAATGAGACAAAAACTTAACCTTTTTTGTTTTTTTTTCAGACGCAATGTTATTGAAGCTGTTTATAGTAGACTGAATCCACATAGAGAAAGTGATGGGGTAAGTTGTATGTAATTTTTTAAACATTTTGAAATGATTTTACAATATAAGTAACTAGAAGTGAATACATGTACATAATGGAATCTATAATTTATTACTGCTTTTTATTTTAAGGAGTCAGTTAAAGCTTAAATTGTATTAAAATGGAGATAGAGATAACATACTATTTTATGAATAGATTTATTTTCACTTTATGGGCTTCAAATGACCTTTTTGTTTAGGCTGTTTATATTTTCTTGTTTCTATGTCTGCCTTTTCTTTTCTTCCCTTACATCCTAATTTTCAAGCAATAATATGCTTTTAAGTATATCTGTTTATCCTCCAGGTGGCTACTATTATTCCCAGAAGTTAGTGATGTTAGTGATAGTGAGTGAGTTACCATTTTAAACAACTGGTTCCTTCATTGCCCCTTTGTGCCCAGTGTCTATACCTGAGGATAACTTCTTTCTAATACTATTGTTGTGTTATGGCTATCTGAATGTTAAACTGAGATAGCCATTTCTATTACATGCTACTGTGCTTCATCAGAGCAAAATCTATCCCTTTACCTTTTATTATGCTGTTCTTAGAGATACTGATGAACTGCTAGCTGTCTCTCTACAGTTGCTTTGTTTTAGTACTAGTACCAGGAGACAAAACAGCCTTTTTTTTTTAATGATTGCACACATTTCAAAGTTAGTAATTCAAATAATTATTTTCTCATAGGATTTTCAGGTTTTTGGACATCTAAAAATGAATGACCTAATTTTTAGTATGTATGCTTCAAAGCTTTAAGAGAGCCAAACTTGGTAATGAAACTCATTAAGAAGAAATAGACTCTCCCTCCAAGTCTCCAACTCCTCTTGACAGGTCTTAAGAAGAGATAGCCATTGGGTAGAAATTCTGTATCTTGTCAGTTGCATTGCTTTAGGATTTGTTGTTGTTTTGCATTATAATAGTTTCTTTTTCTTAAGAATTAGTAGCCTAGTAAAAACAATTTTACACTGCAGCTTTAGTGAGTTAAGTAAACATTTAGTGAGTCAAATACAACATTCCTGATAACAGAACTTACCATTTGGTCTAGAGCAGTGATTCTAAGTCTTTCTTTTGTGTCAGATCCCTCAAGTTATTAGAAATTATACCTAAAGCTGTGAAAGTTAATTTGAAAATAAAGGTGTCATGTGCTACACTCAAAGAACAAACAAATGAAGCGTAGGATGTTGACATAACTAAAAACATGGTAGTAATTCGGGAGGCTGAGAAAAGAGGCTCTTACCTTTTCATCTAGATCTTAACCACCTTGAGTAGAGGAACCCTCAGAAAATAGTTTTGATTCATTACTAGCTATAGATAGTTAATGATTCATTATTCCCATTTCCTCAGCTATATCTTTTCTTCTTTTTGGTGAGGTTTTTGTCCTAGAGCACATGTGCTCACTGAAGAAAGAGAGAGACAGACATAGTGAAGGGAAAGTGAGAAATCACCTTCTGGGGGTTTTGGCCACACCACAGTCCCTTCTTCTGCATTCTGCTCCCAGGATCTTGGGCATGCACACACATGCACCCAGTATGAGTTTGAAGCCAGCTGGTCTGGGACTCCCAACTACAGTCGGCCATGAGGGAGTCCAGTGACATAAACTCTATGCTATTTGCTGACCTTCCTCGGCTATTTCAAAACACACCCCTTTGTTTTATCTTAAGATTTTTGTAGGGGGGCCACCAGGTATTGTGGTGGTTGAGGCACTGGACTCCCACATGGCTGACAACAGTTTGAGTCCTGAACCTAGTGGCTTGCTTTCTCACTTTCTCTTCCTCTCTATCTGCCTCTCTCCGGTAAGCACACATGCCCTATAGCAAATTTAAAATAATAATAGTAAATAAAATTAAATAAATAATTTTTAAAGAAATTGTTATAGGCCCAACCACAGTAGTGTAAGCAATAGGGTGCCACTGCTCAAGCCTGGGGCTGTGTAGATAGCTTGAGTTCATTTCCTGGACCAAATATGTTGGGTGTGGTCACAAACTTGTAATTTTGGCTAACTAGAAAGCTAGGGCAAGAGGAGTACGCATGACCAGACTCTGTCAAAAATTCCCCTCTTCTCCCTGCCACACACTGATTCACACAAACACACACACACACACACACACACACACACACACACAGTTTCTTGGTCCCTCAAGAAAGTGTTCTGTTTTTTACTCCAGACAAGATTTAAAAAAAATTTTCTGGGGACGAGCAGTTGGCGTAATGGCTATGTTGCTGGACTCCCGTGTAGCCGACTGTGGTTCAAGTCCCGGACTCGGTGGCTTAAAATTGCCCTGGGCGCATGTGTGTGCATGGCCAAAATCCCAAGGGGAGAATGGAGGAGAAGGGATTGTAACATGGCCATCCCCCCCTGGGGAGTGATTTCTTGCTTTCTGTCTCTGTGTCTCTCTCTCTCTCTGGCGAGTGGATGCCCTATAGCAAAAACCTCTCCCCAAAAACAAATAAATAAAAATTTTCTGTTAACAACAGCTAATCAAATACTGGTGATCTACCGTGTATACATTGATGGAAAGAAGAGACTATAAAACAAGGCATAGTCCCACTCATGCTTATTGCTACTTACAATGTAGTTACAAACACACAAATTAAATAATAAAAATGTTTCACATAGTTTGGTTAAGAATGGAAGAAATGATAAAATATAGAATGTGATTATTACCATGTGGATTATACTGTGATTGCTGTGGAATTAAAAGAAGGAGGGGAAGTCAGATTCTCAAAGAAGAGATAGGATTTGGAGAATGATTGGTTGGCAGAAATAAGATGAGGATGACATTTCAAGTGTATGAAAAAGGCAAGAACAAAGCATAGCTTTGAAAAAAAGGGTATCTTTAGCTAGAGCGGAGATTTGCGGTGGTGAAAAGAATTTAGGTCATAGAAGTATTTGCTAAGAGACTGGCCTTTTGAGCTTTACTTTAGAGTGAGGAATCACCATGTATTTGGAACATAAGAATGATAGACTTAGAGAAATACCTGTGGTGTTTTAATCTGTTAGAGATATCTGCAGTATTAAAGAGCAGCTGGGAATCAAGTAGTTGAGAAGTAAATGCAGAAATCAAATCATAAGTGTCAATTCATTATTAGTGGGTAAATACATGGCGTAGAGTTTCCTTGTTTATTATAAACCCTGACTTTGCAACCCAAAATTCTTTTTTTGGAAATATTACCATACCCTTCAGAATAATCAGTACCTGAGAAAAATGTTGAGCCATAACTCTAAGTAGTAGAAATATACTTAAAAAAAAAAAAAAAAAAAAAAACACACATTAAAGAAGTGAAAAGAATCAAGAAAACATAGACAATTAATTCTTAGTTCTTAATTGACTCATTATAACACAGAATTAGGCACATTTTTGCTCAAAAAGTGCTGCATTTCTTAGATCTTCACAGTATAGAAGATGTTGCCAGATGGTACAGTGGCAGGAAGTGATATTTGGGAAAGTGTAGTAAAAACACAGAAGAGGAGAAGGTTGGTGGGACCAGCAGTTAGCACAATGGCTATGTCGCTGGACTCCCACATAGTCGACCATGGTTCGCGTCCCGGACCCGGTGGCTTAAAACTCATGCCGGGCGCATGTGCGTGCGTGCCCAAGATCCCAAGAGGAGAATGGAGGAGAAGGGATTGCGGCGTGGCCACCCCCCTGGGGTGGAATTCTCACTTTCTGTCTCTCTGTCTCTGGCGAGCGCACGTGCCCTATAGCGAAAAAACCTCTCAAAAAAAAAAAAGAGTAGAGGGTTGGAAGATACTATAAAAATGTAATTCGGGGTCCAGCTCATGATACAAGTGGTTGAGGCAGTGGATCCCTCATGGCCAACTCTGTGGTTTGAATCCTGGGCCCAGCCAGCGACTTGAAAAATATGGCAGGCATGGGGGCATGCATGCCCAAAATTCCTGAAAGGAGGGAGAAGTAGAGGAGAAGGAGAAGGAATTGTGACCTGACCATTTCCCCTTGGGAGGTGCTTTCTTTTTTTTTTTTCTCTCTCTCATAAGCAAACACATTCTCTCGCAAATTTTTAAAAATTGATTTTAAAATTGTTATTTAAAATATAGTTGTCTGTTTAGATATTTTAAAAAGGATGCTAGGGGCCCACAGGTGACGTGGTGGTTAGGGGCACTGGACTCCCACATGGTGACCATGGTTCAAGTCCCGGACCTGGCAGCTTTCTCTCTTTCTCTCTGTCTCTCTCTTGTCAAATTGAAAAATAATAGTGAGTAAATAAAATTAAATTATTCTTTAAAAAAATAATAAAAAGGATGTAGTTCAAATCATATACTTTTTTTTGTTTTGTTTTGTGTGCTGTTTGTTTGTTTGTTTGCTCCAAGGCTCATGTGCTCACCAGAGAGAGACAAAGAGATGGGGAAAAGTGAAAAAGCACCCCAGAGGTATGGCTATGCCTCCTCAGTCCCTTCTCTTCCAGTCTCCTCTCAGGATTTTAGGCACACATACACACATGCCGGCGAACTTTTTAAGCCACTATGTCCAGGACTCAAACCATGCAGTTGGCCATGTGGGATTGAGCTGTCTTCACCACCACGCCATCAGCTGTTCCCTAATAAATTTGGTTTTGTTTGTTTAATTTTTTTGGACTATATTTTGTCTTCTCAGTGCAGGCAATATTTTTCCAACTTTTAAAATAAAAATCCATGGAAAAGAGTCTAGTAGGATTCTTAATCAAAGGTTTCATAAATCCTCAGAAATTTTTTCAAACGTTTCTGTATGTATATACGTATTCTTTAATGATGAGCATGCCTGTGGTTTTCCTCAGTTTCTCAAAGGAGTCTGTGATCCCAAAGGAATAACTGCCTAAAAGACTCTTCCATCTACTGTAAAATCTCCATAAAAATAGAACATTTTACTGTAGGCTGTTCCCACATTAGGCAAGGCCCTGAGATAACACTCCTTTCCTTTTTAAAAAATGCTAAGTTTGTATTTTATAATTAGAAAATAAATTTTGAGAGCATTAGGACTTTATCT